TTTCTTTTCAGATGGGAGCTCATTAAAAGTTCATCCAGGGGCTGGGGGCGTGGCTCAGTGGTAGAGCACTTGCCTAGCCTGTGTGAGGCACTGGTTTTGATTTTCAGCACCACATACAAATAAATGAATAAAATAAAGGTCCATCAACAACTAAAAAAATATTTTAAGAGTTCACCCAGGCTGGACTCAAACTGTGCTGCTTCTACCTCAGCCTCCTGAGGTGCTGGGATTACAGACGTGCACAACCACGCCTAGCTAGCTACCGGTGCCAATGAGATAGGCTCTGATTGCAGTGAGGAGGTGGGATTTCAGAGCAGCCCTTACCTGGAGCCATCATCAGTACATTGTCAGTAGAGGGCACTATAGAGACACCAGACGCCAGGGCTGGACGAAGGACTGTTTCCAGGCGTGCTGTATTCCACAGTGGCTCACCTTCATGATTCGGAAACAGCACACACCACCYCTCCCCTGCAAGGTCCCCCATTCCTAGAGCAGCATGTTTGGTCAGCTGTGACCCCTAGAAGTTTTTCTGCCTCCATTGTCAGGATGTTACTGCTGCCAGTTGAGGCCTGAAGCCTTAATTTTCTGGACTCCACCCCTCCAGTCCCTTCTCAGGGTTAGGGAAGTAGTTGCTTTCTGCRCTTTTGTGTGTGTGTGTGCTGGGGATTGAAACCAGGGGTGCTTTGCACTGAGCCACATCTCCAGTCCTTTTAATTTTTGAGACAGGGTCTTGCCAAATTGCATAGGACCTTAGTAAATTTCTGAGGCTGGTCTTGAACTTTTTTCCATCACTCCTGCCTCAGCCTCCTGAGTTGCTGGGATTACAGGTGTGTACCACTGGCCAGCAGTTAAATCTCCTTGTAGCAGTTGCCTTTTACTAATTGAATAACTTCTTTTAGTGTTAAAAAAGTTTCTCTCTTTATTTTTTGTCTCCTCAGTGTTGACTGATCGTGGGTCGTAATATTTGGAGGCTTGATCAAATTCGAGCCTGATTCACAGGTGTAGGTGAAAGAATATTTCACAGGTATTGTTCTTCCTGTTGTATCACTTCAGGGCCACACACCTGGTTGTCCTGAGTAAGCAATGAGCTYAGGAGTCATCAGCTTCATCTAACATGAAATTCCCCACTTGCCTTGTGTGCAGCAGTTTGGGCAGTTATTGGTGATCCCTGGAGTTGTGAAATCATATGCTGCTATCATTTGTTGTCTGGAATTATTCTGTAAAGAGAACTTTTTCCTCAGCTGTCATCTTGAAAGGAGGTTCATTCTGACATAGGAAGGTAATTGCTAGATTTTATTAGTTTTTTTTTTTTTTTTTTTGGTGGTGCTAGGGATTGAACCGATGGCCTGTGCATGCAAAGCAAGCACTCTATCAACTGAGCTATATCCCCAGCCCTTAGTTTCTTTCTTTATTTTATTATTATCATTATTTTATTTTTGGTACCGGGGATTGAATCCAGGGGCACTTAACCACTGAACCACATCCCCAGCCCTTTTATTTTCAGACAGGGCCTCGCTAAGTTACTTAGGGCCTCATTAATTTTCTGAGGCTGGCCTCAAACTTGGGATCCTTCTGCATCAGTCTCCTGAGTTGCTGGGATTACAGATGTGCCCCAGGATTTTCTTTTTAAGGTTGAATATTCAATATTCTTTTATTATTAGAATTTGTGTTTTTTGGGTTGGGGTTGAGGCTCAGTAGTAGAGTGTTTGCCTAGCACGCATAAGGCACCAGGTTTGATCCTCAGCATCACATAAAAATAAAAATATTGTGTCCACCTAAAACTAATATACACACACATGTATATGTATGTATATAAATTATATATATACATACACACACATACATATACRTGTGTGTGTATGTAAAAGAATTTATGCTCTTCCCTGGAAATTTTGAGTTTCAAATAATTTTGTGTATTACTTGACATAGTAAAACAGAACACATTTTGTTCATTTATTTATTTATTTGATGGATATTTGTGTTTCTTCTACTTCTTGGCTGTTTCATTTTTTGGTATTAGGGTTTGAATCCAGGGATGCTTTACCACTGAGCTACATCCCCAGACCTTTCTATTTTGAGACAGRGTCTCACTGAGTTATTTAGTAACTTGGTAAATTGCTGTGGCTGGCCTCAAACTTGTGATCCTCCTGCCTCAGCCTCCYAAGTTGCTGGGATTCAGGTGTGTGTCACTGCGATTGGCTCCTTCTATTGCTTTTAAATTTGAACATTTTGACTTGAAAATGCTTAAATAGATACCTGTTCCTTCCTCCAGTAGATACCTCAAATAAAGCAATTTTCATTACACATCCTCAAATGCTAAGCTTGAAATTGTTCTGCCAAGTGGTTAATACTAATCATAGTGTGGCAGCAAAACAGTTGGGCCAGGCACAGTAGCATATGCCTATAATACCAGTGGCTCAGGAGGCTGAGGTAGGAGGATTGAAAGTTCAAAGCCAGCCTCAGCAATTTAGCAAGATCCTAAGCAACTGAGTGAGATCCTGTTGCAAAATTAAAAAAAAAAAAAAAAAAAGATGTGGTTCAGTATCTCTGGGTTCAATTCCTAGTATAAAAAAACAAAAACACTGTGTGCCTTGCTTGTTGACCCATCTAAATTTAAGAACATTCTTAGGGAGAAAGAAAAGGTTGACTAAATGTGGCCCAATGCCTATTTTTGCAAAGCCTCAAGCTAAGAATGGCTTTTACATGTTTAAAAATTTTTTTTTTAATTGTAGATGGACACAATACCTTTATTTACCTAATGTGGTGCTGAGGATTGAATCCAGTGCCTTATGCATGCTCGACAAGCACTCCACCATTGGTCCACAACCCCAGCCGGGTTTTTATAGTTTTGAAAGATTTGGGGAATAAATGATACAAAGACCCAGTCCACAAAACAAGATATTTGTTCTCTTTGTAACATCAGCAAACTGTGTATTTTAAAACCTCCAGGCGAGAGGCCTGTGAAATAATAGGCATGGATTTGTGGCATATTGGGGTGGGGAGTCACTTGCCTAGAATCTAGCTTTATGACAGCTCTAACCACAAAAGGAACATACAAACCCGTGCCTGCATCCACCCCAGGATGTCGTGCGCTGTAATGTAGTTTGCTGGGCCTGCCATAATGCAAGTCCACAGGGTAGTTGGCTTAAAAAGCAATTTACTTTCAGGAGTTGACAAGGCTGGTATCTGGGCAGGCCTTTTTTCTAACATATGGATGTCTGCCTGTGCCTGTCCTCAGTTTCCTGTGTACATGCAGGTGGGAGTTGGGGTGATGGTGGCAGGAGAGTTCTAAACTCTCATGCCCTTAGTATCAGGGCACTTTACCACCAAGCTATATTCCCAACCCTTTAAAATTTTAACACAGGGTCTAGCTAAATTGCTCAAGGTGGCCTTGATATTATGATCCTCTTGTGTCAKCCTCCCGAGTAGCTGGGATTATGGGCATGTGCCACCATGTCCCCCTCTCTTCTTATGAGGACACTAATCCTGCTGGACTAGGGTCCCACCCTCTGACCTCATTTAACTTTAATTATTTCCTTCAAGGCTTTAGCTATACACAAGGTTGGGCTGACTTCAACCTATTAACATTGGAGGGACACAATTCAGTCCATTACTATAAATGCTGAATCTGGGCATAATTAAGTAGGGTCTGCATTCAGGGTTCCCACCTCCAAGTGCTGAGAGCATGTTTCTAGGTGGTTTACTCCTGAATCCCAGGCTCTACCTTGTGGGCTAATGAGTACTAGTTATTGAATTAATGAATGCTGAGGAGATCAGACTAATGCATGAAAAAATTCAGAGGACTATAAGGTGCTAATTTAAACATCACATTAAAATTCTGTAGCAATTCTGAAGGTAAATTAAGAATAAATATTTTTTATTTTAAAAACAGACAACTACCTATGCTTGGACTCCTTGCACGTGAGAGGATATTTTTGGTGGCATTAGGACATTTACAGATAAAGAAACACAGCCAGAGCTGAAGTGGTTCATGAGGGAGGATATGGGCAGATGCTAGGGAGGAGACACCACGTCTGGAGCCTCAGCTGTCAGATGTAAACAAGAGAACAGTACACTGTTTTTGCAGAAAGAGTAGATTAGGTAATTTTATCTAGAATGGAAAGAAACAGTGTGATCATCAAGAAGTTCAGGTTTGGGATGTAGCTTAGTGGTAGAGCATGTGAGTACCACAACCAAGATGGCAGCAGCAGGGGCGGGGGTGGGAGGGAGGCTCAGCTGCCCCCTCAAGAAGTAATATCGATTCCAAACCTAGTGCAGGGGTTGGGGCTGTAGCTCAGTGGTAGAGTGCTTACCTAGTGCGTGAGGCACTGGGTTCGATCCTCAGCACCACATAAAAATAAATAAATAAAGGTATTGTGTCCAACTGCAACTAAAACCAAACCAAACCAAAAACACACACACAAAAAACCCCTACAATCTACAAAGTGATTTAGCTAACTTAAAAATGGTTCTGATAAAACTAGGCCCATGTGGTTCTGGAGCAAGGCAGGAGTATAGTTTACATTAAGATGCTACCTCCTTGTGTAGAATTTACATTGTCAACTGTGATGAAACTCAAAACTTAAGGGGCAGGGACACAACTCCTTCCTCCTCTGATAAACACAAAAGGGTTCATGTCCAAGTTGAGACTCTTCCCCTTTGCTGTTTGAGTTTCCCTTTCAAAGACTCATTAGGAAACAAATAGTTAACATCAAAATTACAGTCCTAACTTTCTCATTTGTTCTATGACAAGATGAGGTGTTTTTATAGTTAGAAGGTGGTGCTAATGCATATAGTATGTGGTGTTCCGGTCTAGCATCATAACAGCTAATGCAGTTTTACAGTTTCAGCAGAAGGTTTTTTTTTTTTTTTTCAATCTAATAGAACAAAATTCTGCATAAATAACAAATATCAGAAATGTAATTAGCAATTTAATTTTTAAGCTAAGTTTTACAACTCTTTTAGTGCCTTAACAGAGCTAACAGAACACATCTTAATACTAATTTGAGTCACTATTTTTATTCTTTATTGTCACATTTTCCAAGTTTTGGTGCCCAAACTTGGCAAACATCATGGAGATCTGTACACACATACATATACATATACATATATATATATATACACACACAGAAGTTTAAAGCCCCAGTTTCCTCGTTAAACCTTATGCTCAGGCTCCTGTTAAAAAGAGGTAAAATGATAAGATAAAAATCAGGGAAAACATGAAAAGGCCCAATTGATAACTCTTTTTACAAATCAAGGGAGACATTATGAAGCAAAATCCATCACCTTGCTAAAATTCCCACTGAGCTACAGCCTCATATATTTACAAGAAAGATAAACAAAAGCCTTTTGCACACATCCACGAGGTTTAACAAGCCAGCTGAGGAGTTGTATTTTCTTGCTGTTAATTCAGGAACTTTTCATTAAAAAACAATATTTCAGTGATTAAAATTTCAGATGTTAAAAACTTCAGGCGGGATCATCTTTACATTCCGAAGCAAAATTCTTCAGGTAGGTACATATCTTCAAATTGCTACACAATCCATCACAGCAACATTCAGGCTTTTCAATTAATATACATTTCCTGTTTGGTAACTAAGGGGCAGACTCGACTAGTGTATTCGAGGTCGTTTGACCTTGCTCTTCTCCGCAGCAGCTCTCCTCTTCTGTGGTGACAGTGGTGCAGGCTCCTTATTAGTCTGAAGAAATGCAACAGCTCCTGGTAGACAGTAATTTTCCACAGGAGGAGGAGATTCCTATAAGAGCAAAGGAAATGTTTTTCTTTTTTTCTCCCCAAGATTTCAAACTTTTAGGCAATCAAGTCATAGACTCCTTCACTCTGCCTTTTGAGGAGAAAAGCTTAAAAAGGAAAATGCATATTCTTTCCTAGGTTCTTGCAAAAACCTGTCTCTCATGGTATGCGGGATCAGCATACACCTTTTATCAGAAAAATGAGAGTACAGCTCAGGTAGAGGAAGAATCCCTGTTCAGATCTTCATGGGGATTACATGCTCAATAGCTATCATAACACAAGTTGTTAAGCTTAGCATAACATCCTCTCTATATTCCCATTTTACAAACCAATTTAAAAAGTTAAATAAGACAACCAATGTTACTTAACAAGCAAGTGGCAAAGCTACAGAGTTCCTTCCCTTCTCAAACCCACACATTCTTCTCCTTCACAGCCATTTTACAATACTGAAGAAAAGATTTCTTCCTTTATTCTAAGTGTAATAACATCAATTTTTTTCTGGCAAATATGGTAGACTGGGTAACCTGAAAATAAAGCTCCATAAAATTGGTGGTCATTCCATATATAACAACTATAAATTCTGAATAAAATATATTAAAGGCAACTACCAGAAAACTGGAGAATAAACAAATCAAGAAGAGCTGACATTCAGAAGAATAAATAGTATGGAGCATTTTTCTCTTTTTTTATGACTTTGAGGAGAGGGCCCCAGACTGTTGTGTAGCCTGGCTAAAATTAAAAAAAAAAAAAAAAAAAAAAGCTTGAAGAAAGACATAATGAGAACCACACCCCCTGGAAAGTAAGGTGGGGAAATCCCTGAAAAAAACAGCAAGCGGGGGACCCAGTTCAGGGAGGAACCCTGCCCAAATCTTCCCTTGACCTCTAAATCATGTGTGTGCTAAGACCAAAGACACTGAACTGAGATCTAAGCTGCGGCTGCTTTATGTCAGTCTAGTAAACTGCCTGCTAAATAAAAACAGTAGTTTTCAGAGGGCTACAGCAGAATGCAGAGTTTCTAAACTTATTCATAATGTGCAGGACAGATTCAGAGTTATTCTACATATGTAGAAGCAGAACATAATTCATTCTCAAGAAAAAAAATAACAAAAATGAAATACTTATATATAAATTTAACAAAGTGTTCATGAAAAATCAAGGAACTAAATTAATAGACAGGCCATGTTCACGGATGGAAGACTCAAAACACTAAACTTAAAGAGATCAATACTAATGAATGCAATTCCCATCAAAATTAAGATTTTTTTGAGTATAAAAAAGCTTATTTTAAAACTTTATGGAAAAAAGGTACAACTGAAAGAAAAATGTAAAGACACCTAAAGTAGCTAAAACAATCTTTAAAAAGAGGAGTAAGTAGAAGCTATCACTGGCTGATATCAGGGCTAACAAAATAAGAGTTGTAGGATCACAACAGCAGACCACCACAGAGGGTGGTGACACAGATCAGTGAAACCAGAAACAGACATACACAAGTATGCCCAACAGACTATGACAAAGGTACAAAAGGAACTCAACAGAGGAGAGAAGGTTCTTTGAACAAATGACAAATGGAGCCACTGCACAGTCTTAGAAGAAAGAAATCCCAGAACAAACTTTGACCTAAACTTTACATCTTATGTAGCAATTAGCTTAAAATGGATCATAGACACGAAACTTTAAAGACTTTTAGGAAGAAACAAAATAATCTTTTAAGACCTAAAGCTAGGTAAAGGCTTGATATGAAAATCACAATCCATAAAATATTGACAAATCAGACCTCATCAAAATATAAACTCTTTGGCAGAGGAAGGAGCTCAGTGGCCAATAAATTTACTTCACATGCGTAAGGCCCTGGGATCCATTCCATACCACAAAGCCAAAGAAAACCTCTCTGTCTCTGCAAAAGTCTCTTCTAAGAAGATAAATAAGCTGGGAGAAAATATTCACAAACCACACATGCAATTAAAGACTATCATCTAAAACAAGAAACCCTTAGGGCTCAATAATAAAAAAAATTCAATTAGAAAACGGGCAAAGGAGGGCTGGGGATGTAACAGCTTAGTGGTAGTGTTTGCCCAGTATGCACAAGGCCCTGGGTTCAGTCCCCAATACTAGAAACAAACGAAAAACAGAAAATGGGCAAAAGATATGAACAGATATTTTAATGAAGACTATGTAAACATGCAAATAAGTACGCCAAAAGATGTTGGACTTCATTAGTCATGTGAGATACACAAATTAAAACCATAGTAAGATACTTACTGAAATGGCTAAGAGAAAAAAATAGCRACAACACTAAACCTTGAAGACAGAAACTGGATCACTTACATTGCTGATGAGAATATAAACCAATATGGATCTTCTGGAAACATCTTGGGCATGTGTCACAGTCAAATGAAAACATATTCACATAAAAACAGCAGCTCTATTCATGGTAGTCCAAAACAAAACAACCCAGATGTCCTTCTCCAGGTTAATAACTCAAATAAGACCCTATCTTCAGCTCTCTATATCTTCCTAACCCCCGTCATTTTCCCTCATTATATAAATTTTTATAACCTCACGTCTCAGTAAATTGACCTTTTTAAATACAGCGTCTCACATTGCCCAGGATGGTCTCAAACTCTGGGGCTTGTTACACTAAGAATCTTTAAAAGTCTCTTTACAAGTTGCTCCAGGAGTGTTATTAATGGTTACTAATTCCTAATCAGTATATCCACTTTATAACAAAGGCTTCAAGCATTCCTGCTGTTAAACCCTGAGCAACCCCCATACCCAAGCAGCAAGATCACGAAGCAGGCTGTTTTGGTTCCCCTTATTTCTATGCCAATCTATTCTAAAGACTTTGTAATGAAGACATTTACGATTTTATCCGTCCTTGTTGTTTCCTGACGGGCTTACAGGCACTCTACTGTCAGGAAGATTTTTCTTTGTCCATTTAAATCTTACACAGTATAAGCTGATTCTGAACACAAAATCTGCCCTCCAGATAACAAATGACTAATTATTACCATATCTAACATAGGTATTTACTGAAAATCAACACAAAGGTCAAGAAAACTAAGAAGGACCTTGGATAAACGATTTTCCTTGGATTCCTAAATCAATTTCTACTTTCTTTATATCCCAGTATTTGAAAACACGCTAGATTTGTATGACCTTGTCATATTTAACTCTCATGCTAAATGTTTATGTGTCATTATAAAAAACAGAACAAAACTGGAGGAGGCTAAATCAAGAAGAGCAGAAGATTGATCTTCCATTAATAACAAGCCAAAGGTTCTGAGGTACAGATAAGTATATCTTTGCTAATGAGAAAATCAAGGACACAATGTCACCAACCTGCATAAGATAATCAGCAATGTATTCTGTTCTTAAGCAGTACACATTCTGGGCAGCAGCTTCTGCTATATTAATTCCTGAGTCATCCGGTTTCTGTTTATTTAAGTCAGAAAAGAGATGTGTGGCCTCTTTAAATAAAGGAACAGAATGACCAGGTAGCACCTAATGAAAAAAACAAAAAGAAACAATCTGCCAGTGTTCCCAAGCAATTCAAATAGATAATATATACTTAAGCATTACCAATCTGAAAAGTAGAGGAAATGAAGAATTGATCACAGCAAGCATGGATGGATAATAATTCATGTAAGACACTTAATAAATTGATGTGAAACAAACCTTTGCTCCTCCAGACTGAAGAAGACGCTTAAATCCTGCTTCTCGGGATTGGTCAACATGTAAGATAACCTTCCAACCACTGAATGCTCCCTGTAAACAAAAACTATTCATCAGTGTTGAAATGATTTAGAAAATAACAAAATAATACTGATAATGTATGATTTTATCTGTACACTGTTTTAAGTCAGCAAATAAAATTTTGGGGGTGGGGCACCTTAGGGATTAAACCATGGGCACTTTACCACTGAGCCACTTCCTCAGTCCTTTTTATTTTGAAACAGGGTCTCACTAAAGTTGATTAGGGCCTTGCTAATTTGCTAGGTGGCCTTGAACTTGTGGATCCTGTCTCAGCCTGTGAAGTCACTGGGATTATAGGCATATGCCACTGAGCCCAGCTAGTAAGTAATTTCATGACCTTTACTTTTGCCACAACGTGATAATCTCTGGCACATTCCTCAGTAGATATTTGAGCTGAGTCCAGGTCTTTGTGCATGCTAAGCAAGTGCTCAATCACTGATTTTATCTCCAGTCCTTTCTAAATTTTATTTTCATTCTGGTCTTTCTATGCTGCCCAGGCTGGCCTCCAACTTGGGATCCTCCCTCCTAAGCTTCCTGGGCATCTAGGATTACAGGTAGATGCCTCCATGCCCAGTATAAATTACTTTTAAAAGAGTTTTCAAGATATGTATCTTACTGTCAAACATAATTAGAAACACTAGAAATATACATTAAGTGCAATTTAGAATGTCCAAACCAAACAAACATATCAAGGGATAAAAGAAGTAGAATTATTATTTAGTTAAGCATATATCCTTAAAAAAAGAAGCCACATGATTGAATGCCCTTTACATTACTTATATAATTATATACATACATACATGGGATTGAACCCAGTGGTGCTCTACCACTGAACCACAATCCAAGTCCTTTTTTCACTTTTTGAGACAGGATCTCACTAAATTGCTAAGGCTGGCCAAGACCTTGTCATCCCTCTGCCTCAGCCTCCCAAGCCACTGGTATCATATATGCTAATACCTCCATGATGCCCGATTCTTGTCTTTGCTGGATTTTTTTCCTCCATCTCATTGCTGCGAGTGCTAGTCTCCGTTGCTGTACACTGATGCCAGTCAAAACATCAAGTATGGAACTACTTCCCCATTCATAGTCTTCTTCCTAGAGAATGAATCCAATATACTTTTGAGCTCCTAAGCCCAGGGAGTCTGTGCTGCAGACAGGACATGTGTTTCTGACCCCAAGAAGCCTTCAATCAGCGAAGATTAAAGCTAAACACTGAAWTGTTATAATCTGTTTATTTTTTTTCCCTCCTTCTTCTTTTGGTGGTACTAGGGATTGAACCCAGGATCTTCCACATGCTAAGAAAGTGTTCTACCACTGAGTTACATTCCCAGCCAATCTGAATTGTTATAAATACAGAGAGCAGTTAAGTAAATATTTTGTGAGCAGGGGGTAGGTAAATACTCTAGAGTCAAATGTATCCTAGCTTTTAATAAAATCAGAAAAGATATTGCACTCATTTCTAAGAAACATAACTACACCTTGGCAATTGGCAATATTTAGGTTATTGGGCTTCACCTGATGTAAGAGTTACTTTATACAAGGATAGTCTCAGAGGAGCATGTAATGAGAACTTGATTATCTGTCTGTAGAAAAGATCCCTAAGAGGCTCTTATTGAAAACTTCAAAAACTACATAGTAGATGCTATGGTAATGGCCAGTTTTCAATAATTAATTTAATGGGCAAGTAATAAAGATAAAAGCTTACAATGAGATAATTTTGAAACTTTCTCATTTTATTTCAAAGAAAAAAAATGGCATTCAAATTAAATAATTCAAAAAGTGAATAAAGCTAGRTGTGGTGTTGCATGCTTGTAATTCTAGCAACTCAGGAGGCTAAGGCAGGAAGATCATGAGTTCAAAGGTAGCTTCAGCAACTTAGCAAGGCCATGTCTCAAAAAATAAATAGGGCTGGGAACGTGGCTCAGTGGTACTACAGTGCCCCTGGGTTCAAACCCCAGTATCAAACAAACAAAATAAACTGAATATGGCTGTATAGTATCTTTTTTCTTTTTTTGCTTTGTTACCAAGAACCTCATACAGCTGATACAATCTAACTGGCCATGCATGGTGTTCTTTCTCTCTTCTGGTACTGAACCAAGAGGCACTCTAACTCTGAGCTACATCACTAGGCCTTTTTATTTTTTGATAAGGTCTTGCTGAGTTGCTTAATTAAACTGGCCTTGAACTTGTGGTCATCCTACCTCAGTTTCCCAAATTGCTGAGATTACAGGTATGTGCCAGCACGCCTGGCTCACATGTAGTTATTTCAATTACGTGTATGGTTGATGTATATACTGGGATCTCTACCCCTGACCCTGGCCTGAGGACTGAACCCAGGGCTGCTCTACCACTTAGCCACATCCTCACCTCTTTTTATTTTTAAAAAGGGTATTGCTAAATTGCTGAGGCTGGCCTCTAATTTGAGACCCTCCTGTCTCAGCCTCCAAGTCACTGGAATTACAGGCACATATCATAGCACCCAACTGAAACCTTAAGATATTTACTTTTCAAGAAAAATAAATCTTCACAAGAATGTGAATACACACACCTGCACGAAGTGTCCTGCAGTCCTGCATGCTTCCAGGTAGGAGCGATGAAGCACCCACTTCCCAGCTGCCACGGAGGCCAAATACTTCTCATTTCGAAGTGGCTGCCCCACAACAATGTGTGTACAGCTGGGATCAAAGCACTGCTTCTCTATCACCAGCCCACCTTTGTGAAGAGAAATTGTTTGCATTTTTATTCTTAACTTCTTTCTAGGAAAAAATGTAATCTCAACTATACATAAAATTTTTTTATAAATAAAATGCACTGAACTATTTAAATCACACAACTCTGACATTAATATATATATATATATATATATTGAAATTCATTATAAAAATTTGAATGCAAAAGCAGTTAAATTAGTAAAATTAATACACACACATTAGCCACCTAGGTTCTAAAATTATCAAAACCTCACCATCCTTACTTCAATCTTCTTTCTGCAGTGCTGGGGAATCTAGCTGGGCATGTGCTCTACCACACTGAACTATTTTCCTATCCCCAGTATTTCTTTCTTTCTTTCTTTTAACTCTGTGAGTTGGCAGAGTTTTATTATGATGCCATGTGAGTTGGCAGAATTTCAGAAAGTGAAGGCACAGAGAAGAGTATTTCTCTCTCTTTTTAAAGAGAGAGAGAGASAGAGAATTTTAATATTATTTTTTTTAGTTTTGGGTGGACACAACATCTTTATTTTATTTTTATGTGGTGCTGAGGATCGAACCCAGCGCCCCACGCATGCCAGGCGAGCGCGCTACCAACTGAGCCACATCCCACTTAATGTTCTCTTTCCATGTCAAGCTGTCAGACTAAGTTCTCTTATTAAAATGTAAAATGTACAAAGCTTTAATATAAAAAATGTAAAACATTTCATTACATGCTAAATGACACTATTTCACATATACTAGTGCAAATAAAATTACATTTAATCTCTCCTGTTTCATTTTATTTTTTAAGTGTGGCTACTAGAAAATATAAAATGACATGTGGGGTTCATGCTGTATTCCCAGTGTGCTGCTACAACACACCAGGTTCCTCTCCTGGACTGCTTCCAGATGTCAGACGGGCAGCCCAATGACCAGGGGGGAAACTCAGGGCAAGAAGTCTTCACTGGATGTTACACTTTCAACTTCACCTCAGTGTGGTTTTATTTATACTGTAGGCCTGTAATTTAATTGATTTTGTCCAAGTTTTCATCAACAAATGCTCTAGTGCAGATTCTTAAGTGTTGGTTTCAATTTAAACCTTTAGGCCCATGATCTAGTGACTTTAGATTCAGATCAGTTAATAAAATCAAAGCTCTAATGCTCATGTATAGCCTCCGACAGACTACCCATACTTTTTCTCAACTTCTACATCATGATATCAATATTGACAACATCTGACTTCCAACTAAGGTAATTATAATGGGACAGTTTTAATTTAAATATTGGTACCTAGTTTTTCAATGAGATGACAATAATCAATACGTTCCTGAGGGTTCAGAGACGACAGCTGAAATATGTATTTTTTTAATTCTTCACGACTCTCCTCTGTCGTTACAATCTGGAATATAAGAATTTTATTTTAGAAAAAATTAACAAAAATTATCAGATACAGTTATTTTTACATTGACATTGTTCTTAGTCTTCCAAGTTATCAAATACACAAACAGTACAATGCAATAAAATGCAGTTTTCACCATTTGATGAACCTTTGATATTGATATCAATAAATTTCTACTATAACACAACAGCAAAATCCAAAAGCCATGTCACTACAATAGGATCAACCCACCTTTTCTCCAGGGTGTGGAGCCACAGGTGGATTGGCTAGAGGGAAGGCGATGCTTGGGGCTTGAGGAGTAGGGATCAGGTGACTGTCTTTTGTTGGAGTTTCCAGTTCTTCAGAGTTGGGGTGTTTGGGGGCTTCAGTCCCACGTCCATTTCCAGGATCACTGACAGCTGAGGGCAATAAAATGCTGTAATGTGATACTGCCCAACACACTTTTCCTCTGCCTTGGCTGAAATCAGATTAAACACAAACTCTGCAATGTAAAAAGTACATGCAAAAGAAAATATCCTATTTCTAGATCTTATAAATAAATGCAATTAATGCTTTAAAGGGCATATGTATTATCTGGGTTTCTCCAACCCTTTCTTTAAATACTAAACTTACATCAGTAAAATGTAACCCAAATTCATAAAATGAAAGCAATTTTACATTTGGAGAAAATCACAGGCAGAGACAAATCTACATGTCTAGTTTAGGGACATGGTCATAGTGTGTGAAAAAGAAAAGGGAAAGATGACAGGAAGCGTTTCATTTTCAAGGTAAAGCTCAAGGAAGAAAAACATAGGATATGTTGGAAAGGAACTCATATAATCCAAAGAACAAAGACAGATATATGCTGGGTATGATTTAGATTAATTAAATAAAAATGAGACAATATGGACCAAAGAACAATGATAAGCCGGGTGTGGTGGCGCACACCTGTAATCTCAGCAGCTTGGGAGRCTGAGGAAGGAGGATCATAAGTTCAAAGCCAGCCTCAGCAAAAGTGAGACTAAGTAACTCAGTGACACCCCATTTCTAAATAAAATACAAAATAGGGCTAGGAATATGGCTCA